AAATACCAGGGAGAGTAAAAGTGAATGCATTTGATCATTTCAATTTAGTTTCAATTCAAGTTTCTTACATGTTTTATATTTGCAACAGAAAATGACTCTGAGAAAGTTGATAAACATGAGTCCCGGTCTGGGTGATCAGCTTGGTGTCTTCTATCTTTAGCTTCTGTCATAGTTACATCAGTTGATTATTGTGAAAGAGTAGCTTAGATAAAAACCTCTTAGATGTTTTGTTCAATCACTGAATTGATTTCTGTTCATAATTCCGTACCTTAATACTTATGACTCAAAGTGACCCGCCATAAACAAATTCAAATGCATTCAGAAATTATTTTGAGACAAGGAATCTGTAGAAGAGCATCATGTTACAAATAATTACTGGATGGATGAGCCTTAGAGGGTTTCATTAGAAAGAAGCAAACACTCAGGGAGTCAGATTAACTCTTTGCTTGTTGTATTAAAACAGAGTAGAGCAGAAATTATTATTAAATGCATGAAATCAACTCAAATATTTATCGTGACCCTAAAATCAAAACACAAAATGTTCTTTATGGATTTAAATAGTTGTATTCAAGAGAATAGGTTGCTGAGATAAATATCCACCCTTGTTGAACATGAACCACAGTATGTACTTAATCCAGTCGTTAAACTCTTAATTTTTAAATTTTTTTTTTTTTTATTAATAATTATAATTTAGAGTGCAAGAAGTGGCCAAAGCATCTCCAGATGTCGCAGAATTTACCGCCACCTATAGGCCTGGAGTGCCAAATGATTTCTTCTGTCTCTCATTAAATGTAATGTTACCAAACACTGGGTGCCTCTTCCATTGTAATACATTGGAATCTGCTTATAGTGATCACGTTAGTCCAGAGCCAATTTGAACACTATTATCGGTTGATTACTATATCCAAATTTACCGTTATTTCCCTAATTTTCATGCAGAATATCATCTAAATGCCATTTGTATGGTTTTTTAATGAGAAAAATGAAAGGAAACTGATAGCTTGCGCATTTACTGAATTTTATTACAATGCCAATCAAGTTTAATTACAATAAACTGCGCTGTGCGCAGACATAACTCTGGTAGTCTGGTGCCACCGGTGAATTTTTTAAACAAGTCTGAAGTTTGAAACAAACTGTTTCCTAGAACAATAACATGGAATATCTTCTATGTTGTTGTTCTAGGAAACTGTTTGTTTCAAACTAACCTACGTCTGTTTTGTGTTGCGGATCTGCTACGCCACATTAAGAAATCACTTCACATATTTATCCATGGTTCCCTGAATCAGAGTGTTGTCCAATACCGAGTTTACTTCTTTTTCAAGATGATGTAAAAGGTCAACGTTTTTGAAACCTACATGCAGGAGACTAGTCTTTAAAATGCAAACTGCATCCCTCATCTTAGCTCTGGAAGAGACAACAGTCTCCACATCTTCATCATCCTCCTCCTCGCTGCGCGCAGCACTGGTACCCGCACCAAAGCGCTCTTGTGCCTCCGCGATGATGTCCTCATCCGTCACAGGCTCTGACACCGGAGTGCTGTCATAACTTTCGATCCACTTATTAATTATTTTTGCACATGTTTACATTCATAAAACGACCAAAAATAAACACTATGAGCGGATTTCTTGATTACTATACACAAATTATATAAAAAGCATTTGTATAGAAAATACTTTTGTCCCAAGCCTTTTGAACATTATAAGCGGTTGATTACTATATCCGTGACCACTATAAGCAGATTCCACTAGGCTTGTCACGATCCGATCCACGTATCGGATCGGGACGCCGATATTGGCAAAAAAATGCGTATCGGCAAAGCATGTAAAATCCCGATCCAGACTGCCGATCCAGTTTTTAAAAAAAAATCAGGTCCGTATTTTCCAGTTTCGCCGATTGAAACGAGCCAGTGTTTCCCTGTTTTGCATTTTTATTAAAACTTACAGTAATACTTGCACCTTTAACTGTTTACGGTTTTACTGCTCACTGTGCAATTTCAGATTGCTATTCGTAATTTTGTCCAGTTTGTGTTTATCTCTTAATAAACAGGTAAGTTTGTTGTTACCAAGCATTGTGTTTTATTCAATCTCACCTAATTTAGTTGGCTAGATGTTATCAAGAGTAGTAAAACCCTTTTCAACATGAGTCTTACAACTAAGGCTAAATACTTTAACTTAAACTTAAATACATGCTCGGATAGGCTGGTATCGGCCAGTATCGGTATCGGATCGGAAGTCCAAAAACAATATCGGTATCGGATCGGAAGTGCAAAAACCTGGATCGGGACATCTCTAGATTCCACTGTACTGAGCTTATATTGGAAACGCATTTAATTAACAATCCTTGGAACAGAGCATCTGTTTGGTTTTCAGTTGTGCACTAAATGCTTAAGATTTTGACAAAAAATATACTGTTTTGTAAATTCTGCCTGCATATATTTTTATTTCAAATGAATGACAAAATATTTTTTGAGAAACTGTCAATCAATGCGCTCCCTGCTGTTGCCCTCAGGAGTATAAACAGAAGCTGGCGAGAGTGACTCATGTGAGAAAGGAGCTTAAGTCCCACATCCAGAGTCTACCGGATCTGTCTCTGCTGCCCAACGTCACCGGCGGCTTGGCACCTCTACCCTCAGCGGGAGACCTCTTCTCCACCGACTGAGAGCTCTTAGGTTGAACAGACTACTGGAACGTCCCTCCGCAGCCAACCTCAGCCCCATGTTTGAATAACAAGGATGCTCCTGGCTTTGCCTCCACCTTGAAGGCATGTGTGGGAAAACTTCTTACAGAAGAGTAGCTGCCTACGCCACCTGCTAACTCAATCCTAGCGGGACAAGGAGGAGACATGAGAGGCAAAGCAGAGAACTGAGACTCTGTCCGACCGGATTCTACGCCACCAGCCGGGAAGTTTGGTTCCTGATTGTTTTTATTTTCTTTTAAACCCTAAAATGTTTCAATTAAAGCCTCACCCTGTGTTGTATGTTTTTCCAATTCCTCTAGGTTATGGCTACAGTCTGAAGAGGTTATTATTCAATAGATTGATTGTGTTTTTTGTTGGCTTTCTGTTTGTGTCTCTTTATCAACGCTCGGCAAGACCAGATGTTTGATGTGAGTGAAAAGATCATGTTTGGTTCAGCATGTTTGGATATTTTTCTCATCTGTTACATCACATCTTCAGTTTAGTAACATCTCTGAGTCTGCCAAACCAGATTTGTTGAATAAAAGCATCCAAATAGAAATGAACAAATTTAAAAAATACCTTGTAGTCTCCTGTTTTTGACCAAACGAGGATCCCACCCAAAAGTCTCCTTTTTGTGCTTTTAGCTCAGGCTTAAGCTCTGACTTTGGTTAAGTTCAGTAATGTGTGATATGTTTGATTTTTGCAAAAACAAGCTGCATCATTTTTTGTTAAACAGATTTGTTTTGTAGATGAGTACATCTGAAATGCTACAACGGGAAAAACGGTTACGACTAAGAGAAAATAAAGCCTTATGTTGCACGATTAATTAGAAAAAGAATAAATTTTGCTGTTAATATCTGAGTTTGAGCAGAAAAAAAATCTGAACATGAGAAAAGCTTATAGGTAGTTATAATTTCTTACCCCAGAGTATTGATATCCTTAGGCTTAAAGGTTTTAAATGAAATATTTATTTTGCTCTTTTATCAAATTTTTAGGTTTCTATGTTCTTTTTTTCGGTTTAGGTTGCTCTGTAGATGAGTAGCCACTGCTGAAGTGCTTAGTGTTTAAATAAACTGGAGAATTAACCCTGATTTCATATATTTAGCTTAATATGAATGCACTTCAATTTTGGTTGTATAATTGCTGAATAGCATTTCTACATATAGGTCATTAATATTTCACCACAGAGCATTTAATTTATGCTTTCTGAGAAATCGAACAGTTCCTGCTGAAGTTTCCCGCGTTGTTTTTTTGTTTTGTTTTTTTTGTTAGAAAGGATTTTTGAAAAACTTTTGAAAATAAGAAATGCTGTTTACTGAACTTTGAGTCTTCTGGCAGTTCGTTTTTTTAAAGCAGTAAGGCTAGCTAAAAGTAAGCTAAATGGTTTAATTTAGATTGAGATCAATACACCATAGAAGTCCTAAACAGATGTTTTTGGCTTATGAAAAGAGATTTAGTTCGATTTTACTCTCCAGTGTACCCAATAAGTAAATGTTTGGATGCTTTCTTTCCATCCAGCTGTTGTATTTCGGTCTTCAGAGTAACACTGCTATTGGGACAGCCCTGGAGAAGATCAGGTTTTCTCTAATGAAAGTGATTTAGTGGATGCTAATAAATTGGAACCAATTAGAATAAAGTACTGGTGGTATTTGAACTTATTTTGGTTACTTTTGTGGAACAGTGACCATTGATTGTGGCTGTTTTATTGGGTTTCTAATCTCGCCAACTACAGTTTTAATACTTTGGATTGGGAAAATCTGGGAACCCCTGTTCTGTTAAACAATTTACTCTGTCTTAAAATTCTAAACTAAGCTAAAGCTTTTGCTTGTTTGAAATATAACACTTTTGTCTTTTTAATATTGTTTTGAATTATTTCTGCAATGAAAACAGCAACATTCCCCTGTGTGCTGTTTCCCCTGTTCTGGTAATCTACCTTTAAGTACAGTATGGCCAAATAGGAGTTATAAAAAAGAAAAAGAAAAGATGTCTTCCTGTTTTTCTCCTCTCTTCAGTTTTTAGATATTTTTTTATTTTACAATGAAGTGTTTTATGCAGATACTATTTAAAAGAAAAACAATTTACTAGGATAAATATTTAAAACAATTTTGCATAAAAAGAGGCTCATGTACGTTACAGATCACTGCATGAAAATGCAAACATTAAATTGTCCATCCCTCATGTGACTTAATTAACTAAGATGACCTACAGGAGATTCTCAATTAAACCAGGAAAGATCAAACCTTAGTATTTTCTTTAAAAATATGTTTTTATGTTCTTTTTACACATAAACCCATAACCTTTTCAAAGTATTTTAAAATGGCATTTTACATATTTATCATGTATGAGAAATAACATGGACAAATGTTTACAGAGAAATTCATTTAATAGAGAAACATAAATAGATGGACTTCATTGCTCCGTCTCTTCTTCCTTATCAGAAGGTAAGTGGTTGAGCTGGGGAGAATTGGGATGGTCAGCATAATAAGCTGTGTTGTAGAGCCTGTCCACCACACAGCAGCTCAGATGGCTGCGGGACATCTTCATGCTGTTGGCCTTGACCCACATGTTGGCCTTAATGTCATAGAACTCGACATCAGAGATGGTAGATACGCCATCAAAGCCTCCGACTGCAAAGAGGAGGTCTTCCATCACGGAAATGCCAAAGTTGCTGCGTTTCTTTTTCATGCTGGGAATTTTGCACCAGGTTTTGGTGGAGACATTGTAGGCCTCAACAGTGTTTAAACGTGAGACTCCATCGAAACCACCAACCTGCAGAGAAAGATTTAAAGAGAATATGGTCAGAATGGAACAAAACAGAATAAGATAATCACTGAAACCTACGCAGTGTCAACAAATTAACAAGGTGTCAGTGGTTTTATGATTTTCTTATTATATTATTACACATTTGTATTATTTTTATTGCAACTGGTAAGATTATTTTGAATATATAGATTATGATTTCAAGGAGTCTTACCAAATGCAGTGGTGTTACTGTACTGACAGATTCTAGTACTTATTTTGAGTAAAATCTCAAAAGATTAATATTCTAACATAATCTGCTCTTGCTTTGTACATCCATCTCACATAAGATCAAAAATAGTTTTTGGCTAGAAAAAAGATTGTGAGACTTGGTTTAATGAATTGTTTTTCTGTGAGGGAACTAAGGCTATAATGAAATCATGCACCTAGTCTGCCTTGGTGGTGATGGAGGTGTAATAATTTAAGGGGTATTTTCTTGCAATACTTTGGTACCACTAAGACATAACAGTCCATTTAAATATTGTTACTGATGATGCCCATCCCATCATGATCAAATTATAGTTTCTGAGTATATGTATCCAGTTAGACAAGGATGTTGCACCTAAACATTTGGGGTACAAATCAGTATAAAATGCTACATATTTCCCTGGATGGAAACAATACTCAAAAAATCTGTGTATTTTTAAAATAATTCCAGATTACAAGTTTTGGTGAATTAGATTTTTTTCAGTTTTCTACTAAAACTGTTTAAGTCTCAAAAGTAATAAAGTAGACACAATTAATACCTACATACCCATACAGGAGAAGATTTTTATTTTTATTGAATTTTCCTTAAATGTAAATATACCTGACCATTATTTATTTGGCACATAATATTGACAGGATCATTTGATTAGGTTGAAAAAGACACATTTCTGCTTTGCTCAGTGTTGTGATTGTGCACCTCTATACAGTACTATACTATACTATACTATAAGTTCTCTTTCTACGTGAACTAGTTCAAAGTTCAGTTCACACATTTTAAAATGAACTAGTTCAGTTCATAGTTCATAATTCAAAATTTTTAACTAAGTTCACAGTTCCAAAAAATGAACTAGTTCATAGTTCTTTTTTTTTTTTATTAATATATATAAAAAAAAAAAAAAATATATATATATATATATATATATATATATATATATATTGCTTAATTACACCATAGCCTACTGTAGAACCAAAGACAGCAATTATTTTATCAGTTGTAACACTGAAACTGTGCGTCAGATTTCATCTTCATATCCAGTTTTAAATCCTTATCCAACAAGGATTTACATTAGCATTGAGGGGACAGTATTTCCCCATTGTTACTTAAATGCTTTGTTGCTGTCCATTCACTTCACACTAGTAGCAGCTGCAGCTTTCACCATACAGTATATTCTCAAAAACATCAGGAAAAATGTGCTGCTTGAATGGTATTTTTTATGAAGAATTATTAAAAGAAAAACAGGAAAGTAGTCTTTAAGGTGCAAATGTTTTTTTTTTATTTTAATAATTTTTTCCATTTGAAATTTCATGTCAGTACATAATAAAAAGGGATACTGGAATCCTGGAAAATTATACCAGGCAGGTTTAAGTGCGGATTTTTTACTGAAAGCCGGCGGGCAAAGTTTGCAGAGAAATGTAAGATTGTTGCCATCATCCTCACCAACCACCTGGTCATAAACCTGTTTTAAGTGATCATACTGCTGCTTTGTCGCCTCCACGGTCGCCTCCATGCTGCTGTGGCTTCCACGCTGCATTTTGTTTTGATGACGCACGCGGCTGTAGGCTACGACACTGGTAGCTGGTGTTGCCAGATTGGGTGTTTTTCGCGCTAAGTATTAAGGCCTGTTTACGGTGTGATTTAGCCGGGTTTTCACCTTGAGGTCTCTATAGAAATTTGGCAACCTATTGAACGCAGTTGAACTGAGAGAGCGTGCCGTTCACAAACACCAGAATGAACAAGTTCACAATAACGTTCATCAGGCAGTAATGCAGTACGTTCAGTTCACGTTCGCCCAAAATATGAACGAGTTCATGAACTTTCGTTCAATAAACGCGTTCAGGTACAACACTGTCTATACTTACTGCAAAGATATATTCACCAAAAGCAGCAACACCGAGTCCGCTGCGTTTGCTGCTCATGTTGGCAATCATGGTCCACTGGTCTGTGTCTGGGTTGTAAACCTCAGCTGTTGATAGAAACTGGCTTCCATTAAAGCCGCCGCAGACATACACCTGGAAAACATTTTAAAAGAAAAGTGTTTGGTTGAAGAGGTCTATCTCTAGAAATCCCCCTACCATTATAAATTTACTGTGTTTTTAGGACTAACTTTTAACAAAAAGGAAACGTGTGTGACACCCTGAGATTTTTAATATACCCTTGTTGCCCTTAAAATAAACTACTGTCACTCACTCTGCCATTAAGGGTTGTACAACTGGCACCACTCCTTTTCTCATGCATGGAAGATACAAGTGTCCATTGGTTGCTTCTTGGATCGTAGCGCTCAACAGTGTTGAGCCGTTCGTGTACATCGCAACCTCCCATGGCGTATATGAACCCATTCGTCACGGTGACACTAACGAAGCAGCGCTTGCTGTGCATTGGTGACGCCTCATGCCAGGTCATTGAGGCCAAGTCAAATCTGTGCACGGCATTGAACTGATTAACACAGCCACCAACTAAATAAACTGATCCATTGAGGAAAACACTCCCATGACAAATCAGGGGAGTTTCTGTGGTCATAGGCGCATGTTTCCAGTACTCAGTGTTGGATTCATAGGCTTCAATCAAACTGGTAGGGCCTCTCTCAGTCCATCCACCTATAGCCAGCATGAGGGCGGGGGGAACTCGGGGCTATTCCAAAGTTGGGCAGATGAAGGACCTGTAGCTTGTCTCCCTCCAGTGGTCTGGAATGATTTTCAGAGACTGGAAGTACATTGCCTGAAGTTCTGGAATTGATTCCACAAATTCCCTCTCATTCACATTTTCACGCAGGTACTTTGGAGACATCCAAGCCAGTCTGACCTGTACAGAGACATAAGCACATGAGTCAGTTTTATATTGTGTAAATCAGTGGTCCCAAACCAACGGGGGGCCCAGCAAGCAACACAGTTCTTACCGTTCCAAGACTTCATCAAAAATGTAGCATGTTTGAAAAAAGAACTAAGGCCTTGGTTGATTAATTATAAAATTGTTTGAGTGGTTGTTGCTGTTTTTTTGAAAAGTTTTTTTTTTCCACACTAAATTTTTACTTAATCTCATCCTGTGTTTTTAATTGTGACCTTGGAAAATAAAAATAAAGGAAGACCATTTTTCACAGCTAGAATGTAATTATTCCATGAATCATATCCCTTTGTCCTGTCCTTTCATGGTTTTCAAGCCAAGTCCTTTTCTCACGCTATTAAACTCAAGTTATTATATTCCTATTCTGATTCCCTGATAATTATTTTCTAGATTAAACACAGCTAAAAGTAGCACGTTGCCACTTGTAGGGATGGGAATCGAAAACCGTTTCCTGTTCAGAACCGGTTCCGTGTGTTCCAATTCCATGGCACCGTTTTGCTTAACAGTTCTCTTATCGATTCTCAGCACCAGCCTAGTAGCTGGGCAGCGCGACTTACATCACGTTTTTTACGCAAGTTACGCACACGGCATTCAGTAAGCAAGTACGACGTGACCAGGCAACACTAAAGCGCTGAAACCGATAGAAATTTTGGCTTCATTTTAAGGAATAGAAAGATGGCAACAAGGCGCTTTGAAATCATTGCAAAGTGGCAATTACATCAGCGGGCAGAAATACATCCAAAATGCAGAAACACCTGCGCACACAAGGTAGCATACATTTTAACGAATGCCGTGTTTTTGATGCTTCTGGACAGAAGCTAAAGTTACGACCAGCATGGAAGTCAACTCTGGTGGTAAGTAGCTAGTTTTATATCACTGACTGTGCTTAATGTGGTTCCTAGTAAATCATATGCCATTTCTGGAAATACACCCATTTCCTAACTCTCTTTGGGGTTGCAGTATCTATAACAACCCAAACACACAGGATTCCAGAATTAGACATACCCAGTTATTAATTTCATACTCTCACCAGATCTGAACGCCCTGTTAAAAAACTTCACACCCATGAGTAGAGGTAATGCAGCCTGATGATATTTACACCGCATCAGATAGCGTTTCCCCCCATGTTAAGAAGAGGGGAACGCTATCTCACAGGTTTTAGAAGTCCATCAAATTCCATTCCCCCCATGTTAAGCAGGGGGAACGCTATCTGAAGGGGTTTATAGTCCCATCAGAAAGCGTTCCCCCCCGATGTAATTTATGTTGAGTTGCAATAAATGCAAAACCCTCTGCAGGTACTTGTCTTTGTCATCCACTCTATTCAGCTGGCTTTTGAAACACACTTTGAGAAGGTGAGGGCCGGGTGGTGAGGGTTAGGGGGCGAGAAACGCAAAAGTAACGCAATAGTTACTTTTACTATTGACTAGTTACTTTTATCGTGGAGTAACTCAGTAACTCAGTTACTTTTTGTGAGACGTAACTCTTAACTATAACTAATTACTTTTTCAAAGTGACTGCCAAACACTGACTTCATTCTGTTTTTGCTGAGGCAGGCAGAAATAGAATGTCCCATGCGCAGGTAGACGAATGTAACCGTGCACTTACCAAGTTCATTGTTTCACAGAATCGCTAAGAGAATCGATAAGGAATCGAATAGTTTCACAAATTCGATAAGGTAGTCGGAATCATGAAAATCTTATCAATTCCCAACCCTAGCTACTAGTGCCACAACCCATTTGGCCACTAGATGACAGACCATATACACACCCTTCCCTGGGTTACTGCCTTAATGACCCAGATCCAGATCTGCAGTTGCTATCAATATTTTCATTGTTCATATATGTAATTATATATCAAAGATTTGGGTAAATTGTAAGTGAAGACTGTTTTTCTCAAAGTACCTTGGGAAAGAGCAGTGAGCTGTGTTCTTTCCTTTCCTCAGGTGCATAGTTCATCCATTTAAGGATGGCTTCATAAACTATCTCTTCCCGCTTTACAATTAGCTGGTAACTCCCAACAATTTCAGCAAGACTCTGTGCAGAGAGAAGAAGGAAATCTCCACAAGTAGAGACAACCTCCTCAAAATGTCTAAGGAGATATAAAAAGGCCTTGTCTCTCAGTTCAGGGTGGTAGAACGTATACGTAAGCTTCCAGATTTGGATGCAGTTCAGGGGGCTCAGGTGTTTCTCCAAGAAATCACTGCAAGCTTGTAAAAGGCCACTAATACCAAAGTGGTCTGCCATTATAAAGAGCTCCTCAGCGTTTTCGTTTGTCAGAGGAACATAGCCTGTGTAGGCAAAATCAATAATGAAGCACATTTGGTAGGGTGTGACTCCAGGGATGTCAAAGGTTGCACAGGCTGGTGTTGACCAGCGGCTAAACAGAGCCCTGTGAAAAACAAAGAAAGAGAAAACACTTATTAAACATTTGATGAATAGACAAATCGTTTCAGATCATCACGAAGATCCTGAATCCAAAAGCAAAGGATAGCCAGAACTTTTCATTAAATTTACTTCTTATCACAGGCTCTTACTCTTATTTGTTTTCCATTAAGTCTCTCCATTTGTCAACAGGCCATTTTTTTCACTCTCCAATAGTCTGCTGTATCTCCTGCTAAGACCTTACCTGAAATATGGGCTGCATTTGCACAGGACAAGCTTGTGCACGGAAAATTCAGCACCGTCCACCCTGATGACAGCGTCACACAACTGCCTCGTCAGGCGAAGCTCATTATGCAGTGACATGTTTTCTCTTGTTTTTTCCTCCAGAGGATTAAAACCTTTCTGCTGTGCTAATGTTGACCTTGACGGTGCAGAAATGAGTCTGCTAGAATTCTTGCTTGGATTATAAAGGTCCTGTGGGATGTAACACAGACCTGTCATCAGAATTCCAAATGAAGAATTCTGAGATAATTACAACTGTCATTATTTGATTTGTTTACGTTTAAATTCACCAGAAATATGATTCTTAAAGATCAAGATTGCCCCCCACCCCAACCGCCACTCCCCACCTCCTTCCTCCCCACTCATAATACACGTATGAGAACCAAATTATACTAATTTAATCAGGTTTTTGTGTATCTGTTCAGATTATCTTCTGTTTGGGCATAAAATGTTTTCATACAAAAAAGAATAATGCTATTTAAATGTGTGCTTGTAAGAAATTAAATAACAGTTAAAGTCAGAAGTCATTAAAACTAGTGGAAAAGTGTGACTGGGTCTGACAGCTAAACTCTGCAAAGAAGCAGATGAACTGAATAACAACTCCATCTTTGTTCCTCACAACCTATTCATTTCTTTCTAATTTGACTGTTCCAATGTTTTACTCACATACTTTCACTCTGTCCCACCACCTCTGCAGTGGGAGGAGTTTCTGACCCATTATGTCATTAGTTTTTTTAAGTAAATATTGAAATTCTGTCTTTAGATTTTTCTTACTACTTACTAGTCAAGGCTGATTTGCAATATGAGCTTGAACTAAATTGAGATGATGTTTAGAGGGACAAATCCTCTCAAAAGTACCATCTGTGCATGATTTAGTTCTGTTTAAGTTGTGGACCCCTTTCCCTTGTATTTATTTGTTTGTATTCTTCCTCTCTCATTCCTTTGTTTTCTTTCTATGCTTATTTATTTAAAAATCTGCAGAACGCCAAGCAAATATCCGTTCTTTTTGTGCATACATCATACCTGCTCATTTGGACCCGTAACAAGTTTTTGATTTGGATATTGTCCTGTGATATAATTAGACAATTCTTTGTTTAGAATTTTGTATGTGTCTGCTCGTGCTTTTCTTACCTTGTAGGGACAATTTCCCAGGAATATACTACCTTGGGGGGGGGCTGACGACTGGTCCCCATGAGAAGTTCTCTTCTTGGGTTGAGAGTGAGGTTTAGGACCAAGGTGCCTTTGAGGTTGGGGTGGGGGGGAATATTCATAAACCGTAAAGATTTGAAGATTCTTACTCTATTAAAATCTAATCAATTATCTCTCAAAATGGATAATTACTTTTTATATCGCAATTTCAATCAATATTCATTTAAACACAACTCTTAGACCCTAGAACCACTTCATCGAGCAAGAACACCACAAAACAATTACATAATCAATGACACCTAGAGTTGTTTGGATATCACTAGGTTTCAGTTATCATCTCTTTCTAATCTGCTTGGTTCCATTCAAACGCTATGCTCATTAAATCTTTCTCTTGAACCACGGGTATATATGCAGTGTTCCAGGCTGCATGGAGGAAGGGGAACATTTTCACAGTCTTCCCAAGGATCCGAAGACTTGACAGGCATGGATTATTTTTGTGTATCAGAAGATCCCTGCAAAGTTTGATGCTCAACTGTTCATTTGCTCTAAGCTTATTACCGAAGACAGCTTTCAAAACCTTGTACATAAAAAGCAGGATTTCCTAAACTTCTTTTACTGAAACGAGGGGCTTTTCCGACCGTAAAGGCCATCACAACCGCAAGCTTTAAGTATGATTCTGTCACTAAGCTGTTGTTAGCAAATGCTAATATATTTATGGTGACCAGATTTGGGTTTCTGAAAAGGAAAAAAGAGGACGTTTGGTCACCCTACCATATCAACAATTTGATGTTTCAGTGAGTGAGTGCTTGTTGCTATGATGCATCTTTGCTCAGCAGCTTCCACGTTGTAAACCAACCAATCAGCGCACAGCTCATCTAAATATTCATGACCATACCATAAAAAGAAAAAAACCTGTTGTTTCATTCTGAGGCTTATAATCAGGCTTGCATTAGACCTCAAAGAACAGCAAATATGCCATTTTCAGCCCAACCAATGACACACATCCTATTCAGAGACCTTAAGGACCAGCACCAAATATCCTTTATAATCATTCTATGACCCCTGTAACACAAAGAAATGTTTTTAAAGAAATTGTTTGATTAAATATTGTGGGCTATTCTATTTTTTGGTGCATCTTCATTAAAAAGTTCCCCTCTTTGTGGGTCACATTTGCTTACCTCCATTCTTGAATAACAGCTTCTGGATGATGAAGGACTACAAACTATGTTTTGTGAGGCTGAAGCCATTTTTAAATGACAGACCCATCACCAAGGTCTCAGATGAATCAAATGACCTTGATGTTCTCACAACCAATGACATTCTGACGCTTAAGGACAAACCCATCTTTTCGCCGGGCTTATTTGAGCACAACGAACTATATGCCAGAAAGCGGTGGAAACAGATGCAATACATGGCAGAGGTCTATAGGAAAATATGGATTCCTGAGTGCCTACCAGTGATGCAGAGACGAACGTGGACTGGACCTAAAAGATGTCTCATTCCTGGGGACATATTTTTTGGTTGCAGATGCTACAGCCCCAAGAGGATCATGGATGATGGGAAAGGTTTTGAGTGCAAATAAGGATGCAAAAGGCCTTGTGTGATCTGTTCACCTTTAGACGAAGACCAGCATCTTGGAGAGGCCTATAACGAAGCTCTGCTTGCTGCTGGAGGCAACAGTCTAGCATCTTGGACTCCTTTTTCCTCTACATCCTTTCTTTTTGTCTTTTACATATTTTGGTAAACACTATTGTCGGGATGTATTGCCACAATGGAGCCAAATCAATTTTAGGAAACAAAGGATGTTCTGGATACTTCTGGATAAATCTAGCCATGTTCATCAGCTCACGCATGGACCAATCGAGTGACAAGAAGGCTTAAATCCCACCAGGAAATACCCCTACGTCATTCAGGGTTTAAAAGCCAGAGCACGAGATCAATCTCTCTCTTCCCCCTGAGTTTCAACACCTGTAACGCTTTCTTCCTGGACTGGAAGACGTCTCAAAGTAAAACCCATCCACTTTTCTATTTGATGCTTTAATGAGGTGCTGCGCTCAGGCAAGCAGGCACATAGGAGATGTTTTAAGTAATGCTGTTTAATTTGTGCTGGTTATAAGAACTCTGGTTTAATGGTTGAAATACATGTGCTGTGACAAGCTGCAGGTGATATTTCTTCCTTCTTTTCTTTCTATCCTGTTTTCCTTCTCTTTATTCTTTAAGGTTAGTTTATAGAGATTTATTGAGTTTATTGCTCACACTTAACAGGTTGTTGTCAACAGTGTTACCACAGTTGCTTTGAAACAGTAATCTGACTACTGACTAAAAAGTAACTTAGTTACGTTACTGTCTACTTGCTTTTAAAAGTAAATAAATTAGATTACTTTTAGTTACTTTCAGCAGATCCCCTGGCCCGGCACTATAACATGAAAATGACTACCAGTTCTGCCAATACTCACTTTATTGACCCCCAACATTTGCAAGCCTTTCCTGGAGATAGGCTTACTTGGTTTTTAAATGAAGAATAAATAAAAGACAGACCTTGACTTAAGTTAAAATATTTTTTTCAAAAAAACTCTTACAAATAAAAGTAGTACACAGGCCTAATACCCCCCCAGGATAGATTAATGAACATTAAGGCCTATATTGAACATTACATTGAACCTGTAGTTGTCTAACATTAGAGCATGTTGTCTAACATTAGAACAAAACAGTATTAAAAAAATATTCTTCACTGCATTTAACTGAAATACTTATTACAAATGAAATGGTTTGTTGACTCCCTTAAATCCAACTTAAATACTTCCTATGAAAAATATAGTAGCATCTGGAAGGCCTGCGGTCATGGTGGAAAGGGCATCTTTGACAGCCAGGGTCCTCTACATCAGGACTTCCAGTGTTGGTAATAAAGTTCCATAAGGACAGTCTGCTTTGAGAATGTCCGGAGCCACAGTCAGCGGCTTTTTGGCCGTGCAGTATTCATTGAGGAATTGGTATTGTCTATCTTTGAAGCATTTCACTCCCAGCTTGGTGTACAGAGTATTCAGCTCATTCATGGGGATTTCTGTAACTCTCTTCAAAGCATCGAAAAAATGAGTTCCACCTTGTAGTGGTTGGCACCAGGAGCTTTCTTCTAATTACTTCCTCTACTGCCTCTGATGCACTGGTGGACCTACTTGCTTGTGTCCAAAGAGCTGAGCATTTTGCTGTGCTGCTCCTGTAAACAACCTTAATGTCCGCATTAGATGTTAAATATTTTTTCACATCATTTGTGGAAATGAGGTTGATTGTGGGGAAAGCACACCTGTGGTGTGGAGGAAGCATAATCTGCGATTCGGCATCACTTTCATGTTCAGCTGACAAGAGTTCTGCCATAGGTAAAAACGTGACGTCATCATCTGGGTTTGGCTCTTTCTCCATCTCATCAACGCTACACACAGCCTGGTAAACTCGAAAAGCCTTGACAAAGTTTGAGCCGTTATCTGTCACTGTTGCAACTGCCTTGTTCCCAATCCCATACACCGAGTATATGTCGTCAATTTCTTGTCCAATTACTTCATACATGTGTCTCCCTCGTACTCTTCTTGCATGCTACAGCTGCCTTTATATGTTCTAACGTGTCTTTACTAAGCCAGTGTAATGTCACCCAATGTAACTTTTATTGTTAGCTGTCCAAATATCAGCTGTTGTTGACACAAAACCGACCTGATGTAGCGCAGCCTTCAGATTTGTCTCTTTCGCTTCATGTTGTTTGTCCAGGTAACTAGAACAACATGTTCTGTGAGGCAGCTCGGTATCATTACTGGTAGGGATCTTGGATATGATGGCACGAAACGATGGTGAGTCCACAGTATTTACAGGCAGCATTTCCTCGAACACATAATGCCCAACCATCCTGTTCAACTCCACCCCACTTGTTTTACACTGAGACCTAGCTTCCTCTGCTTGCTAGGTCTTGGACCTCCTTCACCTGTGTCTGTCGTGGATGGGACTTGCTCCGTTAGTTTTGTTGTTCTGTGCTGTTTCTCCAGATGTTTTTTTCAGGTTTGACGTCGTGTTTTTGAAGGTAGACAACACTCTGTCACCAGCGCAAAGTGTACAACGGACCTTAATGTTGGCATTCTTAACCAAAATAAAATCAAAATAATACCTGTATTTCCAACTGCTTAAGGCGGACTTCTCTCCTTCCATGTTCATTGTTCACATCACATCTGATCTGACGAGATAGAATCTTTCATCTGATTTTGGCGCCGCAGAGCAGATATGATGTACCTTGTAAGAAAAAGACAAAAAATATAAAAATAAAAGAAGAATGTATAGTAGGCCTAAATACCGTAACCCACGTTCCCCCGAAATGCATAAATAGTAACGTATGGTGTTTTATAAAAGTAACTTTAATCTGACTACTAGTTTTGGAGTAGTAGTTGCGTTAGATAACTCGTTAGGGAAAAAGTAGTCTTACTAGAGTAAGTAGTTATCGGCAACACTGGTGGTCACGTGGTTGAGGACCCATTGTTACAAGCTGCCCTCCCCCTCCTCCCTTTCATCATATGAAAAGGGGGGGTCTCACCCCCCAAAACACACACAGATACATTCCCCCTACACACACACACACACACACACAGCCCTGTCCATGCGGCTTTGCTGAGCAAACTTCCGCTGCTGTTGTTAATGCATTTTAACCATTTATCATTTAAGCTGAATGTATTTATGTTGTTTTAATTGCACTGTTGTTATCATCATACCTGCTGCTATTCCAGACGGACATTATTGAATGTATTAACATCTGGCCTATCTTGGACAATCTCAGAAGCCAGTTAAATGGACTCTTAGGGTTTTATTCTTTTTCTTTCAAAACTAGTCACTTAGTCTATCCCTTGTTTATTTTTCTAATAGCGTGTAGTGTTTTGCATAGATGTTAGATTTCTGTAATCCTGAATTACCGTATTAGAATAAAGACGTTGTTGTTTAACTTGCAGTTGCTTGTGATTCATATACGAATGGTTTATCACTCAGGCCAGATCCACCCTCTTTTGGTAATAGTTTGAACAAAGAGGGATAAATAGTTCTTTGATTGATAATTAATAGCTCTGCTGATAACTGAGCCTTGGTCACTAAATTGGTGTGGATACCTGGATTTTATCAGCCAGTCCAGGAACCATCCAGAGGTGAAAGGTGTAAACCCTGGTAAGTAAGCAAATTAGAGCAACAATTATTCAACTAAGAACACTAAATTGATTTCACCTCCGATTTTGAATAAGTTAAATAATTAACTACAAGTCCAATTCTAGTTAATCATTTATTCACTATCTGCAGGATTTCATTTTGCACAACGCTATCATAGAATGAGAGGGAAATAAAGGGATCACAATTGGAGTTTTGTTTGTATTTTTTAGTTGTTTACCAGTTTGTTTCTTTAGGAGTATGGCTCCTTATTAGAGAAACAGTAATTATGATTAAGTGTAAGCACATTTAGGGGCTGGAGTGTAGGATTTTTTTTTTTATTTTTTTTTTTGAAAATTAAGTTTTTTTTATGGATAATCTAGTTAAGTTTATTTGTTCTACTTTATCTGTTTTAAGATTATGTTTTTTGGTTATCTAGTCATGTCCCTTTGTTTCTGTTTAGTTATGATCAATTTGGGTGAATTAAGTTTATAAATAGGCTGTCAATAGTAGGATCAAAATGCATCTGGGTGGGTGTATTTTTTATTTTTTTTTACCAGCATGCAGTAAGTTTTTGTACTTTTCTGTTTTGCTTGCCTAAGGAGAAATAAACTAAGAAAACTATCTGGAAAATGTTTTCTTTTGCCTGTGTAAATTACTCGTTCATGGTGCATCTGTGCCCTTTATGGATTTTTTTTTTTGTGTGTGTTGTCAAAGCTGGGCCACAAAAGGTAGTAAAGTCACATATGGGCAGTCACCTTGCAAAATGTCTAGGGCTGCAGTCAAAGGCTTCATTTATCACAGTGCATTATTCATGTAGGAACTGGTACTCTTCGTTTTTGAAAAACTTAACTCCCAGCTTGGTGCACAACATATTCAGCTCACTCAATGGGATTTCTATTATTCTATTTACAGCATCAATAAATGAATCCCACCTTGTGGGATGTTGGTTCCAGCAGCTTTCTTTTACTGACTTCCTCCACTGTTTCTGATGCAAGGGTGGACCTATTTGATTTGGTCCAAA